GATGGGTACCGAATTGATGACTGAGGGTTCCAAGGGATATTCGGATCACGAAAGACTAGAAACGCATTCGAAGCATTTAGAAGTATTCAACCGGAAACCGGATTGGTTCCAGAATGTTTGCACTTGTAATAAGCTGTCGGAAAATGATTCTTTGTCACATTGATTTGAAATGGCTTGATATAAGACCACATCATCAGCACATTTAGAGGTCTTGGCTCGTGGGGTTGATGAAAGCTGTAAATAAGTAGGGAAAGAGCAAAACATCATAAAGGACTCCAGAATTATTCACTAAAGGTTTTGAATTAGTGCCGTTTGCTTGTTCTTTGAATCCTTCCAGTAAAATAATCTTTCAACCATAACAATAATTTGGTGGGGCAACGGAATGACTGAAACGTTCGCAGAAGAGATATTGGAACGGAATCAAAGGCGGATGAATAGTCAAGTGAAAAACAACAATTCTACTTTGGAGAATCATCTAAAGATTTATAAATAAAGTACATCATTGAAGAGACGGAATCCAAAGTGCATCTATTTGGTTGGTACGCGAACTGGAGTGAGCCATTAGGAACAATAATACCAGACTGCAAGCGGGTGAGAATAGCACACTCTACTAGCTCAAGTCCAGAATAAGTGATGACGATACAATGAAAGCAATAAGATAATTGCTAGATGAGGAGGAATTAGGCATGCAAACAAACTGAACGATCTACAGAACTTTAGAATTAAACATGTGTAAATGGATTGGTAATAGTGGACGCAAACATCTCTGTGACTGAGCCAGCGCCATATATGAGCAATGATGAAAATGGACCATCGGGGCCAAATGCGTCCGAGATTTTCGTAGTTTTAAGTTGATGATAGACCTTCTCATGAGTGACTGATTCTATGGTAGATAATCATAGACAATCGAAATGCCACGGCTTCGGCTATTACGAGACGACGTTATTGGACTGCTTTTAACGTTTGAAAAAAGCACCAGTAATATTTTATCGTGGGTGCTTGTATCTCACCGAATCTTTTCGGTTAATGGCGTTTTGTTTACTTTCTCTTGCAGGTTTAACTTCAACCCCAACCATCGGAAGACCTGGCTGCCAGTGTTTCCTCGCCAACCCAACTCCTGGATTCCTACTGCCGTTCCCCGGCGTCGTTCGTCGTCCGCAAAGCCTCGTATCGTCTCCCTGTGAGAATACTAGCCGAGGGACATCCTGTCGCGCATAGCCGTACAATCTGCTGCACTGCGAGAGCCCGGAGTACGTTCGTATTACAGCTTTCAAAGGGTTCGATGGTACCCACTGGATGATCCGAAATGCGCCATCGCCAACCTGATCCCGGTATCCACAAGATGGACTACGATTGCATTTGAAATCGTTTTCCTTGTGCCTGTATGTAGCTACACCGGTTTGTGCCCCTTGATTCTGTGGGGAAAGTGTCTGATCGTTGTGCCTCCATATCATGCCGAACA